CTATTAAATAGAACTCCAGATGACAGACCTTCAATGGGTGGACCTTCAGTAGAAAGACCTTTAGTAGGTGGACTTTTAGTAGATAGACCTCTATTAAATAGACCTCCAGCAGACAGACCTTCAGTAGGTGGACCTTCAGTAGAAAGACCTTTAGTAGGTGGACTTTCAGTAGACAGACCTCTATTAAATAGAACTCCAGATGACAGACCTTCAATGGGTGGACCTTCAGTAGAAAGACCTTTAGTAGGTGGACTTTTAGTAGATAGACCTCTATTAAATAGACCTCCAGCAGACAGACCTTCAGTAGGTGGACCTTCAGTAGAAAGACCTTTAGTAGGTGGACTTTCAGTAGACAGACCTCTATTAAATAGAACTCCAGATGACAGACCTTCAATGGGTGGACCTTCAGTAGAAAGACCTTTAGTAGGTGGACTTTTAGTAGATAGACCTCTATTAAATAGACCTCCAGCAGACAGACCTTCAGTAGGTGGACCTTCAGTAGAAAGACCTTTAGTAGGTGGACTTTCAGTAGATAGACCTCTATCAAATAGATCTCCAGACGACAGACCTTCAATGGGTGGACCTTCAGTAGAAAGACCTTTAGTAGGTGGACTTTCAGTAGATAGACCTCTATTAAATAGAACTCCAGTAGACAGACCTTTAGTAGGTGGACCTTCAGTAGATAGACCTCTATTAAATAGATCTCCAGTAAAAAGACCTTCAGTAGGTGGACTTTCAGTAGATAGACCTCTATTAAATAGACCTCCAGCAGACAGACCTTCAGTAGGTGGACCTTCAGTAAAAAGACCTTTAGTAGGTGGACTTTCAGTAGATAGACCTCTATCAAATAGACCTCCAGTAGACAGACCTTTAGTAGGTGGACCTTCAATAGATAGACCTTTAGTAGGTGGACTTTCAGTAGAAAGACATCTATTAAATACACCTCCAGTAGACAGACATTTAGTAGTTGGACCTTCAGTAGATAGACCTTTAGTAGGTGGACTCTCAGTAGACAGACCTCTATTAAATAGACCTCCAGCAGACAGACCTTCAGTAGGTGGACCTTCAGTAGAAAGACCTTTAGTAGGTGGACCTTCAGTAGATAGACCTCTATTAAATAGACCTCCAGCAGACAGACCTTCAGTAGGTGGACCTTCAGTAGATAGACCTTTAGTAGGTGGACTCTCAGTAGACAGACCTCTATTAAATAGACCTCCAGCAGACAGACCTTCAGTAGGTGGACCTTCAGTAGAAAGACCTTTAGTAGGTGGACCTTCAGTAGATAGACCTCTATTAAATAGACCTCCAGCAGACAGACCTTCAGTAGGTGGACCTTCAGTAGATAGACCTTTAGTAGGTGGACTCTCAGTAGACAGACCTCTATTAAATAGACCTCCAGCAGACAGACCTTCAGTAGGTGGACCTTCAGTAGAAAGACCTTTAGTAGGTGGACCTTCAGTAGATAGACCTCTATTAAATAGACCTCCAGCAGACAGACCTTCAGTAGGTGGACCTTCAGTAGATAGACCTTTAGTAGGTGGACTCTCAGTAGACAGACCTCTATTAAATAGACCTCCAGCAGACAGACCTTCAGTAGGTGGACCTTCAGTAGAAAGACCTTTAGTAGGTGGACCTTCAGTAGATAGACCTCTATTAAATAGACCTCCAGCAGACAGACCTTCAGTAGGTGGACCTTCAGTAGATAGACCTTTAGTAGGTGGACTCTCAGTAGACAGACCTCTATTAAATAGACCTCCAGCAGACAGACCTTCAG